CAATGCTAAATAATGTGAGTACAAATTCTTCCATAACGGTCTTAGCAGGCTAGCTATAAGGTTTATAAATATCTGCCTCAAACAGATGTGAATATGGATTGTAAACACTATAACCATTTTCTGAAAATAAGACATTGCACATGGCTTTGTTTCATTACCAGAAGTGCAATTATCTGAGACTGCCAATTGCTGCTTTGGCTGCATTCCCTGGCTGCTGGAGAGGTAAGGATGCACTGCAAAACAGGTGCAAAAGGAGACATGAAAATTGTGTGCGGCTACATCACTAGAGAAGTTGGATGGCAAGGTTCACATTTGTTTCCTGGAGATGTTTAAAAACTTTCTGAAAGTATTATGATAAAGCAGATAGAAGTGTTCTCTGGCTAAACAAGTGACTGGCTCAGAAAAGCCTGGGATTTGTAGCATGCAAAGTGTGAAATGAAGGATTGCACCACCTTAGCCAAGTTAAATTCAGTCTTTTGCCGAGTCTTTGAGGCTTATCTTGAAGGACAGGATGAAAAAGTCATTAAAAACAAAAGCAATAAAAGAAAAGAAAGGCAAACCCAGAATAAATGTATCCACTGCATGACCCTAGACACCCAGTAGTATTATCTACTGGCTCAGATGCTGAGGGTCATGTTCAGACCACATAAAATACAATGTTAAAATATAAACAGATAAAATGAGATTAAAGGAGATAGAATCTCATTTAAAAAACTAAATAGAGAGAGAAGCAAAAGGTGTGGGATGTGTGGCAAGGTTTAAAAAATTTAAAGATTACTGTTTTCCTAGTTTGATACTAGGAAACACTGGCATGAAACCCCCAGATCCAGAAATCATACATATTTCTGAACTTTACATCATCAGTGAATTGTCTTAAACCCACACTTGCCCGTACCGTTGCTGCTGTCCTTACAAGACATACCCACCCTGGATACTTTGTCTTACTGTATTAAATTACTCAAATATTGGTTTTGGAAAAGACTTTAAGATCATCGTGCCTAACCCTTATCAATATTTATTACTCAGTTTTTTCACAGAGAAGCAATGATAACCACCATTCAGCAAAACAGTGGTAGCAATGGGAACAGAAGTCCTGCAGATCAGGTTTAACTAAGCTATGAATCGTAGAATGGAAGAACTGGATCACATCCCAATTCATGCTCATGCTTTACTGAATCACAGTATAACTAATCCATAGCCAGAGTTTAAACTTTGGAGAGGGACACACACCAGTGTAGTTTTCTAGCTCATCTTAGAAAGCTGCTGCATTTTTCCCATCTTCCTTTTAAAAACAACTGCACACAAACCTGCAAAATATGACTGCAGTACAACCAACATTTTGACTGATGACAAAGGTCAGAAGCATTGGAGAAAATAAAAAGTGGTTTTTTAACTCTTTATAGTTAAGAGGCACACAGGTGACTTTCAGGAGAAAAGAATACTTCCCCCATTATCTTCTGAATTAGTCTGAATCTCAACAAGCACCCAACAGGCCTTTTTTATGCATTTCATTTAAATTACATTAATGTGTAACTCAGGAAGAAAAGTGGTTTGTTGCAAGATATCAGTTGTCCTTGCTTGCTACCTAAAAGAGTTAATTTTACAGCAAGCCTCAGTTACTCTGCTTCTACTGTATTAGATGGGGGATTGAGAATATTTCAGAGAATTTACTGTTTTAGTACCTGTTTGTCCCTTTTTAACAAGTGAATGATTAGGGGTTTCAAATAGAGATAATAATTCAGGAAAGCTATGAGTTCTTTTATAAAGACTTCAATTGGGAGCATGGCGTTTCTTTCCAAACAAGAGCAGCTTCTTAATTTCTTTTGCCTGGAAGGAACTGGCTTCTCCAATTTAGCTTGATTTGTTGCTGCTTTTTGACTAACGCCCTAATCCTCCTAACCAATTTTCTCAGTTCCATAATTTGTTATCAACAGAAGTTTCAAAATTATGAAAATAATGCACTTTCTATGCAGGTGGAAAGAAAAGGAAGGCTTTTAAGATATGTTTACTCTGTCATCAAAAAGAGAAATTCATCATTATATGTGAATAATATTTATCTCAGACCTATGTTAGGTACTGGCTATACCTTAGAAATAATCCTAGGTCTGCTGCTCAGGATCTCAAGGTAGTTCATACAGCTGTCCCTGACACACATTTCCATGGTTTTACTATGATTGGTATCTGACCTAATAAGATTAAAAGTTGTTTGGGAATGTCTCTGCAGGCTGCAGTAGCTACAGTTGAAGCTCAGTCATGTTCTTCCTAGCTGCAAGCTAAGATCTTTCTACATAAAGCAGCAACTGACCAAGATTACACTCCACATTACACTAAAATACACACCAAAATTAAAAATTAAATGCATAATTAAATGGCAATGAAATAAATATTGGAATGGAAACTGATTGGTGATATATCTAACCTGTTCTCTTAACTGCCTCTCAAAAGAAAATTGAGGAACAGGTGACTATTTAGAAAAACTCCTCTCCAAATCCACTTTCTCCAAGCATCACCTGTCTTAAAACCTAGGAAAAAGTTGTGGGCACTGGCCAGCCAGCTGATCAAAATTAACAGCCATGATAACGTTCAAGCATTTGTCTGTCTCTCAGACTGTGGCATAAATCTTCTAGGACCTCTGTAACCACTTCCAGGATTGACTTTGTTTTGGGACCCATGAAATAAAGGTGCTTTTTGAGGCAAATGCTCTTTACACATCAAACCTGAGTTCATTTCCTTTATTTTAAACTTACCAGTCACAGTGACATTTCTGACACCCAAATCAGGCTCTTTTTCTGCAGCTACACTCTCCTGGTTTTATTGTCATATAGCTGTTCTTTTTCCATGTCTCCCATTCCTATAGCATACTGCTGCACTGTCCTTTTGGACTAATGGCTAGCTTCCTCTTCTATCCCTTTCATCACCTTTCAAAAGTATCTCTTTTTTCAAATAAAATGCAGATTTAATATTCATAGATTATATTCTATATGTAAATATTCTTTACCAGCACTGTAGCCAGGTAGGTAAGATAAAGCAACTGGGTCCCAGGATACCTGCAAAAAAAATCTGGAAAATATTTATTTACTCAGCTAAATAAAAAAAAGCAAATAATGAAATATTTAGTCCTCAAAATTCATTTTTAGTAAAAAAAATAAATTGGGGGGGATTTTGAACAACACTGTCACTGTCCCTAGTCTCTGATTTTTTATCAAAAGATGAAAAATTGTAAATAAAAATAAGCATTAACTCCAGATTCTTATCCAAACATTACCTAATTTCCCAAAATTAGCTCTCCAGAGTTGCAGCAACATTTCTGGTTTTGGTAGGCTTTTGGTGGGCTTGAAAAGCCATTAGAAATTGTAATTAGCTCTAGCATCACCTTCCTCTTTTCAGTCTGTTCCTCCCTTATTTTATATTCTTTTTAATAGAAGCTTCTGGCTTTTACTGTAACAGTAAATTCATAACAATGGTTTCAAAATGACTATTTCACTAACTAGTGAGAGGAGCTGATTAGCCAAAGTATGAACCTCTCCATTCTTCTATTTGTATCTCCTAAAGTCAGGAGTCTACATTGCTGACTGTAAGGCAGTCTTTTGCCTCTGGTATTTCCTAGGTATGTCTGCAGCCAGATTAAAAACATCTGCTGGACCAGGGAGATTTATCCACAGGTTCAGCCAGAGCTCTTAATTGGATTCAATTTCCTCTTGCCCTGGTCCCTTTAATTCTCTCCTTACTGTCTGCCTATATCTTAACTTGAAACTTCAACAAATCATCTTCTCCTCCAAACCTGGAAATAGTATCTCATTCCCAGATTCAAACCCCTTAGATCCATTTCTGCAGTTAATATAAAAGCTGTCTGTACCTTCAGAGTTCTCAGGTCCACAGAAACTTTCTGTGTCTATTCTGTATGTAGCTCCCATTGACATCAGATGGCAGATTGTTTTCTGTCCTCCTTCCTTATTTTATGCCAATGACTAGACAATAATGTCCCAGTCTTCTTGTATCTAATGCCTGTGGTTTGAGTCTTTCACTTCAAATTATTTTCCTTAACTGATGTTCTAAATCCTTCCTAAAAATCCCTTTCTTCTACTGCTCTTTCAATTCCACAGTCACAGATGCAAGCCGACCATGTCCAAGTTAACTATTTTTTATTCTAAACTTTCTCACTGTATTCACCTCTTCTACAGGTATCATCACCTAACTTTACTTCCCCAGAAGAATCAGTTTGAGTTAAGTGTCATTTCCCAGTGTCACAATGGAAGATATAGTCCATATTTGGTTTCATTGGTAATGATACCAAATTCTGTACACTGAAAATGAAAGCTTAACTCCAGGTAAGTGAAACAGATATAATTCTGTAGTAAAGCAAAAAAAGTGTGATTATTGAGTTATCACAGTCTAATTGGAAGCCTTGTGACATTTCACACCCTTTCTCAAAGTTTTAGCTCTCAAAGCTAGTTGATTACATAAGACCCTTTTTTTTTTAATTTTGTTTCAGATGGGCTTTGACAAGGAACTCAGACAAATCTTGTTTAGACAGTGTATGACTACCACAGCTCAAAGCCAACAATATCTAACCTTTATGTACATTAAAAATAGCTTGGAAATATGACCAGAGTGAAGTTGAAAGACTTAGCAAGCAAAAAAAAAGCAGATTAAAAAACCTGTCAGGTTTATTTAAAAGTATTTTTAGCTATGCTGATAATTTTGGTTGTGTGAGTCACACCTTGGGAACCTTTGAGATGGTAATATTCAAAGACTGGTATCTTCTGAGTCAAGAAATCAGACACAACAAATCTATTCACTGAGAACCCCAAACTGAATGTACACACATCTGTAGTCTTCAGTAGTAGAATTACATAAATGATCCTGCAAAAGAGGGAGGCAGGTCCGAACCCCCAGCCCTACAGCCCTTTTACTTGTTCCCAAGCTACCCCAATGCTCCACAGAGGCTGACATTTACCAATGGGCCCACTCACAGAAAGAGCATCCCCACTGGCACTCACCACTGGCCGGTGCACATCCCAGAACGCTCGCTCCTGGCTGTCAAGAATCTTCCTCTCTATCTTGTCTCTCTTCTTGTCGACTCTGTCAATGTTATAGGATATTTAAAAGAAACTGTGCTGGTGACAGTAATTTTAAATGTAAGAAGTGTCCGATCACTTTACCCTCCTCTTCTCCCTTCAAAAAGCATGCAAAACCCCAACTCCTCATCTTCAAAGGAACTTACTTTGCTTGTGCTTCAGCTTGCATAAAAATAAACTCCCATTTCCGAGCAAATGCTCGCTGTAGCCTGGCCAAACTCTCCTGAAAATACATCACAATTTTAGTGGGTTAAGTTGTAAGTTATTTACTATTTAATAGCTTTTAGCTTGTCTTTCCCTCCTCCCCTCACCCTCCCAAGATGCAATACAAGTCATATCTGTGCCAGTGTAAATGTGCCCTACTTATCCAACATAAAGTCTTTGCTTGATGCCAAATGGGAATACTAGATCTATCTACTTTTGCATGCCCCAACAATTTTAGTTTTGAAACTCTGATGACAAGGGTGGATGCAACCTCCTGCAGAACATGGAATATCTGAAGTATTTGTATATAGTGGGTGCTGGCTGAATAATTTTGTTATAATACAAAGAAACAGTCTTGTTTTTAAAGTACCTAATACTGAAAGATAACAGCAGTACTTTCCATACTGGATGATCCACATGACAATTCCCATCAGTCATCTATACAAATGGTTTACATTGAACAATGTTGGCTGCCTATCAATCTATTTAAAATACAGTAATAAGAAGCTATCTATATTTTGGTATTGTAGGAATATTCCAAGACCTCCACAGCTACCCTCATTTTAAAAACATATACTCTATAGTTCTTCACTACTGTACAGGAAATGTATGTATATTAAAGCCTACTAACAATAACAGGAAGAAGATTTGTAAAACGTTAGCAAAATTGTTTCCTCTAGTGATGCTGGAACAGCTTCACTGTCTATAACAGCTTTTCCAATGGCAGCAGCATGCAGTCCGTTAACATGGAGAACGCTGAGGTTCTTATCTTCCTCCAAAATGACACGTTACCTTTATGCACTGCTTTTACTGAGACGAAGTGAAAAATTGTCCGTAAACTCCCTAACAAAAAATGTTGCTTTAACTGTATTTTTATGTATTGCAAATGTATCTCTATGACATACTGAATGAATGAAAATAAAGACTGCAGAGGGAGATGACACTTTCTAGAGATCTTGTCAATACCAGTAAAGGCTCTCATGGATTTTGTACTGGAGGTGAATTTTCTAAGGCATGTAAGTATAAAATTATGCGTACCCCACAGTGCAGTACACTAAAAAGCAAGCTTGTGCCAGAAGAAGCAATAAAGTGTGTCAGCATGGTGCTGCGGCTGGAGTTTTCGGCATGTTGAGAGGCCTGGCTGACTATCCTGCTATCATGTCACCAGAGCACAGCTGGACAGCTTTCAGTGCAGAGCCAGGGCTGCTCATGAATTTTATGTTGACATTTTCATGAAAAATTCAGGAACTTTTGGGGGGATAGGGATGGAATTCAAGACATCTCTCTCCTTAGCAAGTGCCTTCCTCATCAGCTAATCAAACTCCCTCTTTTCCTGGCTTTTCCTGGCCCCAATTATCTTACCTTGCCTGGGGCACAGCACACTTCTCAGGGAGTGGGAAGTGCCTCTTAGTCTGACCCTCTTTGCCTGTCATCTAACTGATGGGACAAGGGCTCAAGTGCCAGCATCACTGTAAAGAATGAGATTTATATTTCTACAGCTACCAAGTGCTTTTGAAAATGTTGCCAGAGATCCTTCATTCAAACCTTACACAGTGTTGAGTACAATTGCTTTCAAAGACTCGTGGTGTATCTGGGATTTGTGAACAGTTATTTCTGATCCTGCCATGGTGATCTGAGCACAGTAAGATTAGAGATGGACCAAAATCTCAGCTTTTGCCGAGACAGCCTTCACTACAGTCTCTCAAACAGCATTTATGACTACTGAGCACTGTTAGATCCACATGCTGGCAAAAGTGTATAACTAATAATTTTTCACACATAATGACTATACTTGTCATGCTTAACATTATTTCACATGCTCGGTAGGACCAGCAGAGAAATTTACTTTTCCCCAGGTACTTACAGCTTCATAGTCTGCTAGCTCTAGCCTTGCTTTGTTTTGCATTGTCCGCTTGCAGAGGTAAACGGCTGGAACAGAATAAAATAACACAGAATTTTCTACTATCTCACAAACACAACAAACCAGAAATCTAGAGGCTTCATCTCTATTTTACTGCTAGCTTTCTTTGGTTTTATTTCTCACCCTATTCTAAAAAGCTTTAAATACATAATCAATGCTACCAGTATGCTAACTAAAATGATGGGTCAGATACAGAGATTCATTAAATAATTACAAAATCTGCTTTATGCAACAGACATTGTATACAAAATGCATGACATACTTGGGGTGAGGTTGTTTAATGGCCAGGGTACTAGCACATTAAAGAAAATATGGAAAAAACATTTTTTAAACTGTGTGTGTGCAACTCATCATGCGTAAGAGTTATGGAGCTGCTGCTATATTAGTCAAATAGGTTTTTAAGAACGTGTATACATGGTTTTATTTATTTTTACTTTATATTTAGAAAGCACAAAATTTCAATCTAAGGAGAATTTAGCTAAAAATTAATTCCAGATAAAATTCAAGTCTCATACAGATTAGTCTGCTATAGCCAATATTTAAACCAGAAAATTCTATGAGACCAAAACATGAAAAAAGTGCATGGTGTATTAGATATAATGAGAAAAAATATTCAGTCATTTATTTTCTACATCCAAAATCCTTCAGAAGAGCTTTTCTGCCTCCGCCTCATTCAGACAGAGCAGAATCTTAACTAATAAAATGGAATACTGACAGCTGAATACTGAAAGGACGCAGGGATGCAAATCAAACTTAAGACTACATAAACAGCACAGTGGTTTGCATCACGTTGCTTGATCCTGAATTCTTTATGCACTCCATTACCCTTGAATGAAGTACATTTCTAATAGACTTTATTTAGCAACAAATACTTCACATCAACGCTGCATATTGCGCAGCTTCCCCTACCAGTAAGACAGTGAGTGCCTCACAATTCCTTATTGTGCAATCTTTACCCACTTCATTATTTCAGACCACCTTCTCACGTGTGAGATGGAAGAATCTTTTGATCAGTGTAAGTAAGATAACCTGTGGTCTCTACGATCAGCAAGAAGAGCCTATATTTACTGGTTGTGGGTAGGAATGTCCCTGCTTCCTGACTGCCACCTTGCCCACTACAGGAACAAAGAGGAATAACTTAACATAGGAACCTAACTCTTGCAATCACTAAAGCGCTCATCTTATATATAGCTTTGATTTTTTTAAGGTAGTCAAACCAATTATATTTTACAACTCCATGGAAACATTTATTTCTGACAAGTCACCTGCAAATGCATGCACACTCACTCCATTGGATGTTATTTCAGTGGAACTGATGACAAGCACTTCTAATAACTCCAGCTGCAGTTACAGGTGTTACTTGATGTAAAATGATGTTATATTTTAATGTAGTTTTTTCTCTTTTCCTCCCTCATTTTGTGTGTGTTATCTGTTCTATTTTCTTTCATACTTTTTCATTTTCCACTCTCATAAGAAGCCATGGTCTCTTTCTCTATTCCCTGCACTCCCATACCCCCTCTGGTTCCAAAGCAATTTCTGCGTCTACAAAATCTACAAATACCGATACAAGCCCAAGCCACACACCAAGTATAGCAGACAAACATTTTCTATAGTTTCAGTTTCCATGAATTTTAACATTAGTATACACTTACACTAATGCATTGGCATGTCACAAAAAGATGAAGGGATGAATTCTGGATCAACCTTTGTACCGATGTTGCATCCACAATCAGTACAGTGGTAAGGGAATACTAAGGAGAGAAATGGTCTATGTCATTTAGCTCCTTGTCCTGGTTTCGGCTGGGATAGAGTTAATTTTCTTCATAGTAGCTAGCATAGTGCTCTGTTTTGGATTTAGTACCAGAAGAATGTTGATAACACTCTGATGTTTTCAGCTGTTGCCAAGTAGTGCTCAGACTACTCAAGGACTTTTTGAGCTTCTCCTGCTCGGCCAGGTGCATAACAAGCTGGGAGTACAGCACAGCTAGCACAGCTAACCCAAACTGACCAAAGAGCTATTCCATACCATATAACATCATGCTTGGGGGGAGTTAGTCGGTCAGTCGGTTGCAGGGAGACTGCTCGCGGCTCGGGGACTGCTCGCGGCTCGGGACGGGCTGGGCATCGGTCGGCGGGTGGTGAGCAATTGCATTGTGCATCATTCGTTTTGTATATTCTGTATATTCTGTTATCATTCTCATTATTACTATTATTATTACTTTCTCTTAAACTGTCTTTATCTCAGCCCTCGGCTCTAACCTTTTATTTTCTTTCCAATTCTCTCCCCTAAATTCTCTCCCCTATCCCACTGAGGGAGGGGGGAGTGAGCGAGAGTGGCTGCGTGGTGCTGAGTTGCCAGCTGGGTTAAACCACGACAGTCCTTTTAGTGAAGCATTTTCCCCTCTTTTCCTTCAAAATCAGTTATTTCATTGAACAAGAAAAAAAATCCCTAAACCCCTTGAAAATATTAGCAATTAAATACATATTTAACAGAAGTGTGTAGACAGTTCTGAGAATTCCAGGGGTCAATTTTTTTCCAGTTCAACCAGTATAATACCATCTGAACAGGAACAAAACAAACTCCCAGTTCTCTGCACTTGATTAAGCCCTTGTAAACCCCATTCTCACGGTCCCTGTAAGGGCACCTTTAGTTAGCTTAGCACTTCCTTGAGCCCCATTGTCGGTATATTTTGTGATTAGCATCTCCTGCTACCTCAAACAAAAATTGTTGCTGCAGAGGTGGCTGACTGTCCATCTTTCTGTCAGTATAGGTTTTAACAAAAAAGCGTCTTCAGATTAGAGAGTTCTCAACACTGACAAAACAACCACCAGGTCACCAGGAGCAGGAGAGAGGAATTAGCTTGACACACTATTAATCTAATACTGTGTCTAAGAAAACTCTTGTCTTCACTGTGTGACTGTACTTTCATGCTGACAGTATTTTCCCTGTGGGGTTCTGTTAATGACCCTTTTTGCTCCAACTCCATAGCAAACAGTCCATCTAAGAACATTTGTTTTTCATTACGAGCAGATCTTAGCCAAGACTCAAAAAAATCATGTTCATCCCTCAGACTTTTTTTCTCTGGAATATCCAGATCCCCTCCCCTTCAGGAGTCTAAAGGTTATAGTACCTGTGGCTTGGATTCTTTATGTCAGAAATGTTTCTATGTGCCAGTGTGGATATGGCATAATATGCCGAAGAAAACAGTCCTGAAGGACATTCCTAATCTGACTCAATTTACTGCCATTGCTATGTGCTAACAATTAGAACCTTATTATAGAAGTGCATGTTTGAGGATCTATTTAAGAGCTACTTGTAGTCACACAAGAAGCCGGCAGCAGCTCAGCAATTTGAGTTCACCAGTTCACACTCTCCTTATCATATTCTTTGGCTTGCCTGTAACAAAATTCACTAGTATGTTGGAAAGCAAGAAGAATGTGAAAATCACTCTCATTTTCAGCCAGAACATTTGAAGACACAGAGAAATGAGGTTTTGTTCTTCTGACTTTTAGAGCAGTGAGATCTAAAATACAGATGCTCCCATCTTTCGCAGGTACCGCTCCTTTTCTTCACCAAAACACATGTGAAGTAACTGCATGTAGCGAGCAGCATCTTGAGAGGATGTCAGTCAGTCTCCCTCTCAAAGCAGAGTCATGAGCCCTCAGCATTTCAAAGAATGAGTGTCTGCTTTGCTAATCCCATGATTTGTATGAGTTGTCAGGTTTTTTACAGCTTCAAACAGAAGTACAATCCGCAGAAAGGGTCTCCAGCTAAAAGCTCCTCTATTTCTCTCTATAATTCTCTATTTATCTACACCCCAAAGGTCCTGGTCAGGGCCCACAGTACACCAAGGAGCTGTAATTGCCCTGAGCAGCCCATCTAGGGGCTCCACTGAGGCTCCCTGTGCCCCGGAGCTGAGCTTAAACCCAGCTACTTCCCCTGGCCCCAGCTTGAGCTACATTGTAGATACACCTCTAACCAGTCCTGTAACTTTACCAGCACTGCCCTGGCTTCCTGGTTTGATCTTGGACCTTCCTGGTCACTTGAGACTTTGTGGGTAAGGATGCTGCTCCTGCCTGAACTGTTGCTACCCACAGTTCTTGCTTACGTTCCCTTGCAGAGCTGCCTGCTCTTGCCACTCCCTGACAAGGGTCCTGAAAAATCCTTAACATATGGGTGAATGATATGCAAGGAACAAGGTCTGATTAGTAACCTCAATTTGTTAAATATGGACTGTCACATACACTTTTATTTTTAGAGCCAGTGTATTCTGATAGATTTTGCAATCAACATAATTGCATCTACTGAAGTGAATTATATATTAGATGCTATAGCTAGTGCTTTAGACGTGACTTATTATCATGAGAAACAGATTCACCAATAATTTTAAAGGCAATATTAATACACGACATTTCATAATGAAAGATGGTCAGTGATGTTTATAAATGGGCATTTGAACTACAAATCAGTACTAAACCACACTTTGGTAGCTGTGCAGTAAATACAGACTACTCACTCTTGAAAATTCTGCTCAGGCATTCAGAAAACGTGGGCAATGTGAGAGCTTAAAGTGAGATTGCAAAGTGTTCTAGTGAGAGGTGCATGAATAGGATGTCTGGGTTTTCTCTCTTGTAAGTTTTTAAACAGCTATAGCCAAAATAACCCATTTTCATGGTGAGCTACCTTTGTTTCCTATTCTTGACTGTTCAGTAGTACTTGAAAGCTCCTAAGAAACCTCTATAGATTTTTTTCTTAAATAAGATCATAGTGATAATGACAGGTTTCATTCTAGAATCAAGACATTGGACAGAGTACATATTATATTATACACACTTACTGGGAAAAAAAAGAGCTTTCAGCTTCTAAGTTAAACTGGAGAATTTAAGCTTGTTGCTAAATAGGGGCTCTATCTTCCCTCTCACCACAGCAGAGAAAAATCCTCAGCTAAATTCATTGGAAGTACAACTGGGCCTCTGAAGACCACGGATAATGCTACCTACACATCCA